GCCCGCAGAGGACAGAAGAGGCTGTTGGATCCCCTGGAACTGGAGTTACAGACAGTTGTTAGCTGCCATGTGGGTGCTGGGTTTCGAACCCGGGTCTTCTGCAAGAACAACCAGTGTTCTTAACCACTGAGCCGTCTCTCCAGCCCCTATTTTTTATTTTTAAGAGCATTTTACAATATATATTTAAAATATTTTATTTTTTTATTTTATGTGTATGAATGTGTTGCCTGTATGTATATAAGTGTACCCATGTTGTGCAATGCTTGGGAGGAGGGTGTCCTCCCTTGGAAGTGGAGTTACAGGTGGTTGTCAGCAACTATGTGGGTGCTAGGACTTGAATCTGGGTCCTCTGAAAGAGCAGTAAGTACTCTTAACCACTGAGCCATCTCTCCATCCCCAGAATGTACTTTTAAAAGGAGAAATAACACTCTCATATAATAAGGCCACTGGAGCCTGGTTAACCTACCAAGAGCTCCATCCTTGAACAAATCTGTCTTTCCCCCTCCCAGCAACCATTGGTTGCCAGAAATTCCTTAGGTTGGGTTGGGGTTTTTTACTCACTTCCCCATGTCTATGCTGGGATTTTTGTCTGGTTTGAGCTTGCATGGGACATGTGCATGCTGCCACCATTGCTGTGAGTTCATATGAGTAACTGACCAGATGTCTGGAAAACTCTGTTTCCTTGTGGTCATCTACCGTCTCTGGCTCTTACAGTCTTTCTGCCCTCTCTTCCACAATGATCCCTGAGCCTTGGGAGACAGAAGTTTGATATGGGTATCCTATTCAGGGGTAAGTACCCTGAAACTTCTTTTTCTCTGCCCATTGGCCAGTGGTGGGTTTCTGTACTGATCACCATCTGCCATCTAAGGAAACTTCTCTCATGAGAGTTGAGAGATGCATTAACCTATAGGTATAACAATAAGTTATTAGGAGTCAGTTTAATATGATAACTATTTAGAAGAAAACTAGTATTAGGTTCCTCTATGTCCTGTCATCCGTCCAGCCTCAGGTTCCTAAGTGGACTTTAAATCCAATTAGAGAGTGGTTGGTTATTCCCGTAATATTCATGCCACTATTGTACTAGTAGGCATATCTTAAAGCCTGGCATTCTTGCATTTTTCTTCTGCCTCCCTGTAGTGTGTATCTTAGTCCCTGGTCTCCCAGCCTCTGACGTGCCATCATCCCTGTGTCTCAACTCTGACACCTTCGTGTTCTTAACAAAGGAACCCCCTCTCCTAGGCACATCTATTCCTAGTGGGTCTGAGGGTGGGGGCACCCTGTGGTGTTGAATGCAGGAATCTGGGGCCCTCCCACTCAGGAGCTCCAGCAGGGATGCTATCCTTAGCCTAATATTGATGTTTTATTTCTTGCTAAGTTCAGTGATTATGTGGCAAAGTAGTTATAGGCAGACTTTGGAGTTGGTGACCCAAGTTACATCCCTGTTCTGCCACTCACAGCTGGGTGAGCTGGGCTTGCTGGTCCCCATTTCCCTGCTTCTGAAATGTGGAGGGAGAGGATGAGAGGGTGTAAACCAGGTAAATCCCCTTGCATGGCTAGTGCAGAGTAAATGCCAGCTCTCTCTCTGTGTCTATACCCAAGCAGCTTCTTCCTTGCCCACAGAATTGCTCATAATTCTTGGGTGCAGGCTGGGCTTAATGCTCATCCTGACAGAGAACCCAAGCAGATGGGAGTACAGGTCTATGCTGTGAGTCTCCTGGTACCTCCCGCGCTTCCTCCATTCTAGGCTGGGATGTGCAGGCTGCTCTTGAGCACCCACCTTCGTTTCCCTTGGCTTCTATGTCTGTCCCTCTGTCTCTTTTACCCCTGTCCCTTGTGAGTGGGCCCAGGTTCCCATTAGCCCAGGTTCCCATTGGCTCCTTTGTACAGATAACACTTGAGTCTGTCTCCAATTCCAGGATTACAGCCATCAGCTGGGCATGTCCCCTGATGTGCTCTATGCCTGATGCTTGTCCAACCACAAAGTATTCCTCAGGCTGCCCTCTTTCCTGTTCCATCCTCCTGCTGACTGCTGCCATCTCCCGAGACCCTAGCCAGACTTCAAGGTCTCTCTCCAGCTCATCTGCAGTCAGCTGGAGGTCTCACCCACTCCTGTTCTGTGGTCTTTTTCCTCTTGTGTCTTACTGTTCTCCCAGATATTCCACCCTCAGCCCGGTTGCCTGCATCTGGCCTGCTACCGAACTACTGAGTGGGTGTCAGTGCCCTGTATCTCCTCTGCCTCCAGATCACCAGAACCTCAACATCATAGCCAGCTCATAACTTTCAATGTTGCCCTGCTGTGTCCTGGGCAAGACATAGTCTCCTTAGCCCACAGGAGCAGACCAACCAGCCCTTTCACTTTGACCTCCTGCAGCTCCATCCAGTGTCTGGACATTTTCTCTAGAGCATGGAATGAGCAGATGTTTAACTTCCTTAGGATGCTCAGGCACTGTTGCTGTGGACTGACTAAGATAGAAATAAATCTTGACCTTCTGGTCAACATTTATTGAATGATCACAGTCGACCAAATGATAGAATTATAGAAAGGTACAATATCTGGTTTCTTGTTCACAGAGAGTCCACAATGTCCCAGTAGAGGCAGGGCACACATATACACATACATGCACACACTTGCAAGGTGGTGTAGCCCAAGTGTGGCATGGTTGGTGTGGACAGCACTATGTTCTAGAGTCATCTGGGGAGGCTTCAGGGAGGTGGCCTTGGCTCAGGGCTGGAATAGATTAATGGAAAGGAGGAAGCACAGTCCAAGGCAGGAATACATGTAAATCTGTGAACATTGCCAGCTTGGCTATGGCATGTGGGTAGAGGACAGGAGAGTAATGTGTTGTAAGACTGAGACTGGGACTGAATACCAGAAGGCAAACACTTTGTTGGGAAGAGATGACTTCTCAGGCACAACTTGTCAGAGACTTGGGTTCCCTGGGGACATCTTGAATATGTGATTTCAGCATGTCAACTTTTGCAAAGAACATAAAATGAGAATGAAATTCTGATGTCCAGATGGTATCGTTCTTCTGTATACTTAAACAATAAATGATTTTTTTCTAGGAAAATCTTAAGAGGCTAAGAGACAGCATCACTCGAAGACAGCGAGAAAAGCAAAAATCAGGAAAGCAAACAGGTAGGAACATTCCCAGGGTGCTGCATTGTGTGTTGGGGGGAGGGTGGCTGCTATCCTTGATTCCCCTTTGCCTAAGTAGACAGAGGCTTGCCAAGCACCTGTTTACAGATCTAGGTCCCCCACTAGCCTGGTAGAACCTTTCAGAAGCAGTTTTGTCTTGTTGCTTCACTGCCTGTGTAGTCTTCAGCATGTAGGAAAGGCATGCCCAGCAAAAGAGTGAATGAAGGGACAGAACCGTGCCTCCCATTCAGAGGGGATGGTTATACTTTCTGTCCTGATTCCAGCCTTGGTAATTAGGAAGCTGTAGGAGACAGTAGAGAAGAGAAATGAGAAATCCCCATTCATAGTATCTGCTTCTCATGAGAGTGGGGGAATCTTTATGTGAGTGTCCAAGAACCCACTATGAAATGACAGCTGTGTACTATGAACTGGGCTCCTCTGTCCCCCTCCCCCCACCAGCCTTGTGACCCTGAGCAAGGACTCAGAGCCTCCAACATGGTGGGTCTCTATGCTCTACCCTGGCCAGCCTTCTAGCAAGAAGAGTGGGTAAGAAAAGGCTTCTGTAAGGAACCCTCCTCATAAAGAACTAAGCAAAACCCATCCTGTTTGTGCTTTCAGCTGCCATTGATGGCTGACTTCTCATGAACCAGGACACAGCTTTCCACAGGCCCCTTGCTCAGGCCTCTCCTTCATACCCACATTCACATAACTGGGCTGCAAGGCTTCACCCCACAGTTCTCAGAGACGCCTCTGGCCACTGTAGGCTCTGTCTTCTGTCCTCATTTGGGACATCCGTAGCACCTACTGTCCCTTCCACTCTTATTACCTCATTCCTAGGATTCTTCCTCCAATGTGCAGCCAAAGTCTGACCATTTCTCTTGTGCCATGGCTATAGCCCAAACACCACCATCCCTGGCCTCTTCATTCCCCTACCCTGTCCACTCTTGTCCCTCTGCAGTTCACCCCATTTTGTGAAACTTAGCCTTCATTTGCAAAATGGCAGAAGTAGAAGTGCTTGGCCCTGCTAGGGGTGCCATGCAGGTGGGGCAAGTCTGGGTATAACTTGTGCCTAGCACAGGCCTGGCACATGGATGAACTCTAAAAACCATACACTCCTGTGATTGTACACAGGCCCCACATACAGTCTGATCTCTGGGGCATAGCCTTCCAGAGTGCACTTGTTTGGAACTTAACCACCCCAGGATCTAGCCCTAAGATCACGCATTTTGAAGCATTATGCAGAGTTCAGCCTGGACATGGTGGCACACCTAGAATCCCAGCACTTGGAAGGCTAAAGCAGGAATGTCGTTAGTTTTAGACTAGCCTGGGCTACATTGCAAGACCCCACAAAGTTCACTCAAGGCCAATCAGGCTCTGAATAAGTGATTTATACCCACTAGTACCTATAATCTAAAAGTAGTCAATATGCAAAGTTTTCCAGCTCCCCTCTCTCTTTCCCAAGAAGCAGATCCTCTGAAATGGAATTTTGTTTTGGAGAGTGGTAATCGTTTTTACTTTTTTTGTCTGCGGCTTTAATTAGTGTCATGTCTATTAAAACACCAAACTACAAATAATTGGGTACAGTGTTAGTTAACTTTTCACCACTGTAACAAATACCCGAGACAATCAACTTATGAAGAAAAAGGGTTTGGGGGCAGTTAGATGGCTGAGTAGGTAAAAGGTGCTTGCCGCCCATCCTGAGGACCTGAATTTGATTTTCAGAACCCATATAATGGAAGGAGAGACCCAACTCCCATAGGTTGTCCTCTGAATACTGGCACTTGTGCCTGTGAACATCCCCCTTAAAAAATGTAATTAAAAAGAAAAGAAAAAAGGTATATTTTGGCTTGTAGTTTTGTAGGTCTGAGTCTTGGCTTATAGTTTTGTAGGTCCAGGTTAGTTCCTCTGTTGCTTTGGGGCCAGTGAGGAGACAGCAGAACAGGTGGAATAAAGGGAAGAGGTAGGGAAACAGGAAGAGGAAAGGGCTGGGGTTCCACTACCCCCTTCAGGGGCATTCTCCAATGATCTAAAGACTGCTCTTTACTACACCTCTTAAAGATGCCATCACCTCCTAGTAGCACCATCCTGGGGACCAGACCTCTAACACTTGGGCCTTTGGGACACATTCTAGATCCAACTCCAGTAGACATTGAACAGAAATGTCTTAAGGTAGCAAGCAGTCCACCTGGGGAGAATGTTCTACCCATCAACTCAAGAGCACAATAATTTTTATTGTGATAAAATATATATAACATTGAATGTAGCAATTGAACAATTTTAAGAGCACAAATTAGGGACGGGAAATACCTTCACCATGTTGTACAGCCACCACCACTTTCTTGTCTGGAACTCTTCTTGACAAGGATCTGAGAGCAAATAGCCAGTGTAGAAGGATGCAGTAGGGGGTAGGCAAGTGAGACAGGAAGGACTCAAAGAAGAATGCCTACTCTGAGCTGTCCCACCCGAGGAACAAGAGAGCTAGGCGTGTATATACCAGCTGTCATCCATCATGGGTGGTGGCCGGCTCAGGGAGGGGCACTCAAAATTTGGCTCTCTGAGAAAGCAACAGGCAATTGGAAATTGGACTCTGTCCTGAAGGGTGAGGCAAGGGCTATCAGGACATCTGCTGAAGAGACAGGATCAGTTGTGGTCGAGTAGATATGATTTATAACTTCCTGAATGTTATAAACTGTGATTATGAATTTGTGTATGAGGTTGTAATACCCTATTCTGTGGGCTTTCAATCTGTGTTCCTTGGGGGCTCAGGGCCACTATACTATGCTTATAAGGCAGGGGTAAGAGCTGGGTAGGGAAAGAGAAAATAGGATTCACAGGGTTGAGTCCCCTTACTCCACTTGACCATCACAGCTCATTTAGAAAACCTGTGTTCTGTGCTAAGCTTCTGTTATCATTAGAGGAAGGACTTCTGTCCCACCCAAATGATTGAAAACCACTGGCACACATCTCATTGACCAACAGATGAACCTCAGGGTTGATGAATGGCATGTCTGCCCACAGGATCTTTTCTAACAATATAACCCACTCTAAACACAAAGACTGACTGACTCTTAAATTTGGAAACTCCAGTTGCCTTAGAAACCAACAATTATTACCATTTTTCTTTAATTTGGGATGGAACTTGCTACTTTGTCTTCAGCCCCAGGGAGCAGCTTTGCCCTTTGTTGGCTAGTGCAGGGTGTTCATGGCCCAGGACATCAGCTCAGGGCCTGTACATGTCTATGTTGGATGTCATCGCCTCAGGGAGGAGACAATCAGTATTTGTGTTCTTGGTGTGTCCCATAAGGCAGAACAGACTGAGGCCCAGGAAGCCAGGGCTTTGATCTTTGCTTTATCACTAAGTCACTTTTCAGTCTGGGGGTATTCCTTTATCCACTGTGTGCCTCAGTTTCCTCTTTGGATTCTACTCACCTACTAACTGGAAAGGTCATGAAGCACAAAGGAAAGTTAATAACAAATGAACGCACTTGAGAAAGTACTAACAATATAATAATTCAAAGAATTCCTGACACTGTATCTTTAGGCAAAGTAGTCCAGGCTTTAGAGACATTTAGTTGAGCCTTACCTGAGTTTTTGAACATTTGGCCTCCAATCTTTTTTTTTTTTTTCCTTTGTGTTTTACTCTCCTTCTTCATAGAACTAGCTGAGGGTAGAAACTTTTTTTTTTGTCTTTTTGAGACAGGGTCTCCCTATAGCCCCAGCTGTCCTAGAACTTATCTGGAAGTTGATTAATCAGACATGAAATTCCTTTTAAAGGATGAGAGATTTTTTTTTTTTTCTTAAAGGTAGGTCAAAGCCAAGAGGGAAAAGAAAGAATGACATCCTTGTGGGCTCTGAGCATTAGTGCCTGGCTGCCTCTGCCCAGGGGGCTCTGAGTATGGGGGGGACTTCAGCTGCAGTGTCACCAAGGAGCCTGTGACACAGAAAAGACTGCATGAGGGCTGGGGAACCTGCTAAACACTAGGCCCCTGGGCTACCCCAGTTTCTGTAGACTAGGATATCTCGCAGCTCCACTAACCAGTAATGCACCCTTCGAGCATTCTCTGTGCAGGCTGTTTACTCCGTGGTCTGGTGCACCTTGTCCTCCCACTGTTCTTTCATGCTGTTCTAGTTTATTCATTTGCTTTCTTGGTGAGCCTCTGGCCACCTCTCAGCTTCCTACTGCTTCCTACTGCTCTTATCCCGTGGAAAAATAGAAGTGTTTCGGGAGACAGTACCCCGAAGAGCTCACAGTCCCTAAGCTCCCTCTTCTTCCACCCTTGCTCCCCTGGCCTCCCAGAAACCTTGTGGCCCAGTGGGAGCCCTGAAATAAGACCTCACCTGCCTTCACTCCTACCTGGGGAGGAAGTTGGTAACATACTAGACATTTCATTCTGTCAGGCAGCACAAGTTATTTCTGTTCCCTGAATTCTGATATAGCAATCTCAGGAGGGCTAAAGACAAACCAGTGTCAGGAATGAGCCTTAAAGAGGTCAGGTCAACACTGAGTTGGACTAAGGGATCTGCCTTACCACAGTCAGCTTAAAAAGTCAGTCTTTCTGAGCATGAAGGACTTTGACCATGAACTCCCTGGGTCACTGTTGTTAATATGGGCTGCCTGCCATACCTTCTCACTCATCATTTGTCACAAACTCAGGGAGCAAGAAACCCTAAACCCTAGGAGTAAACAGCTTGGACTCCAGAGCCAGGGTTTAGATCCCAGCTGGCACTAGCAGCTGTGTGATGTGGGCCATGGCTTTACTTCTCAGTGCCTAGTTTCTTCAGCGAAAATTGCCAAATGCACCAATTTCTTGGGTGTTACGGGGATTCAATGAGCTAAAAGTATAGACCCTCTTAGAATGAGCCTAGTGCACAGGATGGTGCATTATTACCACCAGTGATATCTATAATTCCCTCCCCCAGGCAAAGGATTAATTTAGAGAGGTTTGTTTCTTCAAGTTGAACAGCCATTAAGAGGTGGTACTGGGACCCCAATCCTCTCCCAACTGCACGTTCTTTACCCTCCCTGAGGAAGAAGTGCTCTGCTACCCTTTTCTCATGTTCTGTCATCTCTCCCCTCTGCTGGGCCACATTGGATTCTGTGGCTTTTCAGTGCTGAGGTGGGACTTGAATCCAGTGCTTCCCTCTCCCCTCCAGGCTCAGCTGTAGGCGACAAGTAGACAGGGAGCACTGGAGCCATTTGGCAATGACAATAGGTTATCCTGAAGCTTCTCCTGCTTTCTTCTGATTCCAGACCTGGAGATCACAGTCCCAATCCGGCACTCACAGCACCTGCCTGGGAAAGTGGAGTTTGGAGTATATGAGAGCGGCCCCAGGAAGAGTGTTTTCCCTGCTAGGATGGAGCTCCGACGTGGCGACTGGAAGACTGACAGCATGTCCAGCACAGCCAGTAAGCAGCAGACCAGGGGTGCCCTACCACTAGACTCTAGCTACCTGTGGGCTTTTGCAAACATTCTCTTATGTGCCCCAGGATCTCAACTGTGAGCTGATTTGGTTTGAGAGTTGCCAAAAATGTGAACTAGTTGGCCTGTGAGGTTTGCTTTTGTCTCATGAAGCCCAGTTGTGTGATAAATATTATTGTATTTTTCATTTTTTAAGTAACAAAACCCATTAATTGTCAGCAGAGATGGGGAGACACAGCCCAGCATTGCTGTTGGTAGCCTAGGGATCTCCCCTGTTAGGGACCTCACTCAGATGAAGTTGCAGAAAAGAATTTCAGGAGTTAGAGTGAAGCAAAGCTAGTGGGTTTAAGTAGAGACAAGGAATAACACACACTTCAGACCTAAGCATAAGTACTGAGGGGAGGGCAGGCTTAATAAAAGGTCAGCACTCAACCCAAAGGACATGGCTGTGAGCTTCCTGGGAAGAGTCCATGCTACATATCTTTACAATGGTTATGTGTTTGATTCTGTGGCTCTCTAAGTTACATTGCTCAAAGGATGTAATTTGCAACAGGGTTTAAAAAAATAAGTTTTAAAATTAAGTAAAAACTGGTCTACTTCTCTTAAAAATGTCTTTTTGTGGAGCTAGAGAGATGGCTCAGTGGTTAAGAGCACTGGCTATGGGGGGGTGTTCTGATGCCCTCTTTTGGTCTCCATGGGCATTTCATACACATGATACACTTACACATATGTAGGCAAAATGCTCACACACATAAAATAAAATGACAAAAATTTCTTGCATTTTATTTTTGCCAAACAAAATTGTAGGATGATTTTATGAGGTAAATTGTATTGAAGACTGAGAGGGGCACTAATACAGTTAAACTCAAGATGACAGACATTCTGGCTCTAAGAAAGCACAGTCTTGTTTTTAACATCTTTGTTTGAGGTAGCTTCAGGAAAATGAGTATTATTTTTGTTGGCAATGTTTTCCTTATCAGTTGTTGTTGCACTAAATTTTCTTCCCTTTTTCCTTCTTGGGAGACTCTGTGTGAGTCCTTCGAAGGCCCCAAGGCTCAAAGACTAACATAAGAGTTTTTTAGTTTGGGTTTTGCATGGTCTTTTATGGTTTTGTGCCCCACCCACAGTCTCCGTTAGCTTTTGCCCGTGCCCCATGGGCATGCAATCTCACCCAAGGTGTGTAAATCTCACCCCGTCCTGCTTCCACGCCTGCAGGATATACCACCATTCACCCCAGGCCGTACACACTTCTTTTTTTCCATTCCAGTCTCGCTGCCATGCTAACTCTCCACAGTGATAACTCTCTGCATTGGCTCTGCCCCCGCTTCCCAGGGTGCTTCTTGTCTCGCCCCTGGCTGGCTTACACTTTTTGGAGGAATCAGTAATTTTCAGATTACAGTGGTGCTGAAGTTTCTTGACTTTTAGTCAGCAAGAAATACAAACTAGATATCAGGGTAAGGGACTTCTTTTTCTTCTTATGTTACTTAATTTTCCATCTGTCTATCCTGCTTCATAATAATAGTTAATGGCCACAGAGCCACTTTGAGGCAGATTTGTTGACCTCTTTTGCCGAGGAGGAAGCACTAAGGCTACGTATGTTGCCCTGGGTTGAGTATCTTATAGGGTTGAGTTGGACTGGGTTTGAATTCAGTCTGGAGCCAGAGCCAGGACTCTTCACCCCTGCTTCTGCCCCACTATGCTAAGGGGAAGCCAAGGGTATCTCGAAACAGATTCAAATTTGAAAATTCTGACTTCTGTAAGGAAGTTCAGAATCTAATTAGGATATTTCTTCATTTTGGTGAAGAATCATGAATAGGAGTCTGATTGCTAACATTCGATGCTTACTGACGTGTAGGCCGGGGAGCACAGGCGTTCTGTTTCTGTATCCTGGGTGATGTTTGCTGACTCCAGACACGCTGTCTTCACCAGCCCAGTAGGCTGAGTTCCTCATCTATTGTTAGCAAAACAGCTGAAAAAGTGATTAAAGAGCTAGAGAGAAGCTATATTTCAGGACTCATGTCTCCTTAAAAGTCAGGTAGAGAGTCTATAATCCTTTAGTTGTAATCCTTTCTACATCACAGCCTACTTGAGAATTTGCTGTGTATTCCAGATCTGTTTCCAAAAGAGCATACTTGTCTGAACACTCCCCCCAACCCCCACACACAATTTGCCTATGGGCAGAGATCAAGAACCTCTGAACTATTTTCCCTCCTTACTGTACAAGTGAGTCATTTGTGACCCACAGTAGCAGACCCAACTCGCTTTCTTAGTTCATATACCTGCCATCCTGACCTGTGGAAATAGATCCAAAGCTGTCCTGTGGTCACATGGGAGTCTAGACTAGATAAGGAAAGAACTCTCCAAATATTATGCGGACACCTCAACCAAGGCAACTTAAGAATTCTGACATCAGAAGCAGGAGAGAGTTCCCCAGGGACCACAGGCTACAGAAGAAGCAACAGGCACAGGGCTCTTCTCTCAGACACCTGAGAAAGGAGAGAAGTGCCAGTATCTTCCCTGGTGAGGGAACTGCTTTGCATGGCCAAAGGGAGCCACAGCTGGGACTTTTTACAATTATTTATTTATTTATTTTTATGTGAATGAGTGCTATGCCTGCATGCATGCAAGTGTACCACAAATGTGCAATGCCCATGGAGGCCAGAAGAAGGCATCGGAGTCCCTGGAGCTGGATTTCTAAATGCTTGCTAGCCATATGTAACTGAACCCAGGTTTTCTGCAAAAGCAGCCAGTGCTATTAACCACCAAACCATCTGTCAAGCCTCCTCTCTCTCTCTCTCTCTCTCTCTCTCTCTCTCTCTCTCTCTCTCACACACACACACACACACACACACACACACACACATATATA